GATTGAAACAGCCGAGGCCACAGCGACTGAAGGATTCCAAGAAGGTGCTGGGGATGCTGTGGCTGACGACGTCCGTCCGTCTCAAATCGACACTACTGCTTAGCTATCCCAAAACACCTTGGATGAGTTGTTTGGAGCATCCAGCGACTCGGATGTGGAGCTTTCGCAGGCGGCGGTGGCTCGGGTGTTTAACCTATCGCTAAGCAGCGTACCGTCGGCGGAGCAAGATCAAGAAGCAGCCACCAACCTGCCGCTACTGTCAGAAGCGTCTGGAGCCGAAAGCGATGCTACCCCAGCGGCGACGCCAGATGCACCAACAAACCGCATTTTGCGGCCGAGAAACGGCGTCAAGAGCGTTCCAGACGACGAGGATTTGGACGCTTATGAGAGCTTCAGTTCCGAGGATAGTGCTGCAGAAGGCTTGTATGATAGAAGTGATGATGTTGGCCGCCCCGCGGCTGCTGAAGACGACATGGATTTGGTATCGGAAAGCGATGAAGTGGAGATGGACGAAGCCTTCGTTACGTCGCTTCAAATTGGTGCAGAGACGCTGAGCAAGAGCGCGACTCAGCCGCGATCGGGGGCTTTACGTGGGATGCAGTGGACAACAGCAACGTCGTCGTTCGAGGAAAACGTTCCCGCGTATCCTGGGCTCAACATGGAAGATGTTCAGCCGACGCAAGAGCTGCAACGCATTTGCCACTCGCCACTACTTACCTTTTTCTACTTCATGCCCAAGCCACTATGGGTAATGATCGGAGCGGAAACCAATAGATACAGTCTACAAGAAGTGGACCGTCGAGCACGGCTCATACTATCTAGGCAAGCCGACCATCCGCACGAGAATCGCGAGACCATTGTCTAGATCCGCCGCCGTTTGAGAGCGTCTCCTGCCCACCAGACGCACGTGATCCTGCATGTGATTGAGCTTCGCGTTGCCCGTATGCGGTGTCCACAGAAGTGCCGCTTCTCAGCTCACTGGTCGATGTTAGTCGATGGCGCTGTTCCCGCCGGAACGTTTGGTCAATTCATGGGTCGTAACCGGTGTACAGATATTCTACGTGATATCCATTTCGCTGACAACGAAGCGGAGCGGACGCGCGACAAGCTCTGGAAATTGCGTCCCATTGTCGACAAGTTACAGCAGCGGTTTTTGTCTGGATGGTCGCTACCGGGTGTTTTTTATCTTTTGATGAAGGCGTCTTGCCCTCTACGTCAAAGCGGAACACCACTCGTATGTTTATGCCAGATAAGCCTCATCGAAAAAGTTCATGTTGTGTGACTCCGGGACAGCTTATTGTCACAAGTAATGTGTATGGCGTAAGTTTCTACTTACAAACTAATATCTAACTTCTTATGTCGTAGCTATCTAGATTCGAGATGTACGCTGGCAACGTAATGTTGAAGAAAACGGTGATAGCTCATTCGACAACAAGACAGGTGCTGCTGCTGTCGTGCGTAACCTGAAGACAGTTCTGAATGAGAGCACACGTCACCAATGGCATCTTGTCGTATTTGACAGATTCTATACGTCAATTCTATTTGCTGTGGAGCTGCTAGGAATGGAAGTCTACGTGATTGGCACCATTATAACGGACCGGCTTGGATACCCGAAAGAAGTGAGAGCGACCCGAAAGACACGAGCAGCAGCAATCCCCCGCGACACTTTCACGTTTGCCCGTTCTGTTGATGTGCCGCAGATGATTGCTTTTCACTGGTGGGACCGAAAGCCGGTGCATTATCGGTGCACCGGCTCGGCCATGGCTGCTTCTACGATCAAGCGGAACCTCAAGCAGGTCGGCTCGGTCACCGTTCCATGCCCAGCTGCAGGAAACGACTATCAACGCCGGATAAGCGGAGTTGACGTGCAGGATCAACTCCGCCTCCAGACGCTCTCACTCCAGACCTCTACCTGGTTTTCCAAGTACTATAAAAGCTTGTTCTTGGGGTTCGTCGACCTAGCGCTGGGGAACGCATACATTTCCCATAAGGCGACGGCTCGGCTTTACGGTACAGCAGCGATGACTCGGGGCGAGTGGTTTTGCGACCTGTAAAACCAACTTTTGTAGCTCAAAGCGGAAGACTTTGCTGGTGTAGCGGCTACGCCGCCGCCAAGCAATCAGAAGCGTAGGCGTGCATCCGTTCGGTTGACGCACGAGCTGGAGCAGTCGGATGACTGGGTAACGGTAAGTGGAGTTCAAAAAGAGACGTCAGAGGTCTTGTAAGGTATGTGCACTCCTGAGGACCAATCCGAAGAAAAAATCGTTTACGACAACTTACTTCTGGGAGCGCTGCTCGGTCGACAACGCCAAGTGCTGACTGTGTAACAAGCTGCGGCATACTTACAAAGGTGAAGCGAAGACGGACTTCGCTATTTGGCATGATGACTTTGACGGTGGTCAAAGTATTCCTGTGGCTCTGGGCAAGAAGGTCGTCCTGCGCCGCCCTGGTAAGACGGCGGGTGAACGGAAGAAGACGCGACGGGAATTGGAGCTCCGCGGCGACGATGTTGATGACGAAGGAACGGGAAACGTAGCTGGCAGTGCGAGGATTAGTACTGCCTGGGCCACAGGCTTTGGAGCCAGCACGATGAGCTGACATGCAAGCGATGTTGAGTGTTAGGTGCAAATGTACTTTTTTAAATTTATGACTTTTTTGTTTCCTGTTTTACCATGTGTTTCGATTTGGTTGTGTTACTTTTTGGTCGCTTCTGCTGTCAACCGGGGTAACTTACGACATCTAGGAGAGGAAGGCCGCCATCTATGTAGTATAATTGACGACATCTCTAACAAAATCTGTTGAAATCTTATGCAGTTTCCCGCAGGCGGTTATGTACGCCATATTATATATACTGTGAAAATCTTCGTCGTATTATACGCCGTAAAAGTACCGTGATTAACGTGTTCGGAGGCCTGAATTCCGGTAAGGAAGGGGTTAAAAAGTCATGAGCTTAGAAATCACAAAAACAGAGGAGCCTTTGCATCATTAAAGACTTGTTGCACGAATGTTGCTTGCTCTCACGAGGAGGGCCAGTAGTTAAACTGAATCTAAAACACAATCCTGAATTAAACAGGGCGGCTTTTGTCCCGAAGCGTCCTAGATTAGTCACAGCAATAAACTCATGTGACATATCGACATGTTTCCCACAGTAAGCATCTCTGTACCGCAATAAAACCGATTGTTCTCGTGAACGCCGTACATAGAGTATGATTCGTTCCAACGCTCCAGAACTTAGTTCCGTGCGTGATCTAAGACGCATTCAGCTGTTTATAATCATAATGTGGAATAAATGAAAGTTTCACACAGGAATAGACTCCAACACAGCTTTCGCACAACAAATGTGTCTAAGTTAGACTTTGCCATTTTGTATGAACTGTAGTATCGTATCTCCCTATCGCGCTTACGCACTTCGTAATACTGAAAGTTCCGGTTGTTTCGGTCAAATTAAATGGCGTTCGACTATCAGTTCCCATTTTCCCACGGCGGTCAAAGTACCGCAATCACCCCTCTGCAGTGCCGTAGGATGAATTCTTGTACTCTTAATCCACCAAACATATCCGCCCTCAGCAACACCGTGATCGGCATAATCATGCAGCGATCTACAAGGACAACTCGATGCGAGCCAGCTCCTTCCGTTCGAGATACCAAACGCAACATCGTTGGTAGCGCACACGCCTTCCAGCAGCAGTCGAAACGTCACACTTCTCGAGCCTACTCTCGCCACGCACCCTACCAACACTCTTTTTTTACCACACAGAGCGTCAGTAAAACCCCAGCCAAGATGGCCACAGAGACACTGCTCTCATCACCCGTCACCGACCTTCTCGGACAGACCGATCTATTGTCTGGTCGGAGACGAGCTTCATGTCTTGCATCCGATGTCAGGACTGTCGAGAACATTATGGCGAGCATCCAAGGTGCCGACCACCACATCACGGCTGAGTTGCAGCAAGCCATCGTGGCGGAAGCCTTGAAGAAGAAGATTCGCCACCGACAGCGGTGCCGTATCAACCAGGCGCGCTACCGGCAGAGACGGATGCACCAGGAGAATCAAGTCGAGGGTCGCATCGCCAAACTGAGATCAGAGATTAAGGAGCTCGAAACGAAGTTCAACAACATTATTCGCCCCCCAGTGGGGGGGCCCCCACCAACACCAACGAGCTGGGCTTTGGCATCCGAGTACTTTCGGCAGCTCAATTGCTACTTTTCGTCACCCAGAACGATGCACAAGATAGCACGCCAGTTTCTCCGCGAGACCATGGCACTCGACGTCATGGACGGCTCATTATTTGGAGCTAATGCGCAACTGGATAGCTAGAGGCTACTCGCTCTTTCCTTGATCGACGCTCGTGTAGACCTTAAGGGCATGAAAACACCAGCGCCCGACACACTGAGTGCTGCCACTGTCACCAGCCTGACCATCACAGAGAAGACGCTAAGCATCGTGTTCCCACACCTGAACAGCGATGGCGTCGGAGGCAAAGAGGGCGGTATTTGGTCTCCTCTTGCGGTCAGACTGCTGGATCGAAAGATCGTTATGCATGGTTCGGTGCTCTCTCGCTGGGGTAGCGTAGCAGGAAAAGTGACGAGTATTCACACGCAGGCGGACATGATACGTCCGATGCTGACGCTGCTCGGTAGCTTAGAAGACGTGACTTGCGTTTTTGACAAGGCACTAGTGACACCCGAAGGCACTTGTGACACCCGAATGCAGAATTTCTACTTATAGAAGAGGTTCACTCTTATGGACAAAGTACAACAGAATAGTAAGCAGTTTGAAATCGGCTTCGGTTCATCAGCCTAGCAGCTCTGCTGTGGAACTTCGATTTTCAGACCCCGTTCAGCAATGCTACATTCTGTAGTAGTAAGGTTGTGAGTACCCAATTTTGGTAATAGACAGCTAAAACAAAAGCTAGCTCCCGGTGTGGTTGGTACCCCGTATTAGTTGGTAACAAGCGTCTCGCCGCCGGTCTTACGACCAGTGAGCTTAGTATGTTGGTTCAAGAACCTCTAACAAATCGACAGTCGGGTGTGACTCGTGCCTTGTAGAAGGCACAAGACACGTCCTCTAAGCTACCTAGCAGGTTCAGCAGTGGTGTCACCAAGTCTGCTTGCGCGTAAATGCTCGTCACTTTCTCTGTGGCCCTATCCCAGCCAAACGTTACCGACCCTTGCATGACGATCTTCTTATTCAGCATTTTAGCAGCTACGGGAGACCACACCCCACCTTTATCCACACCGACGCCATCGCTGTTAAGGTGAGGGAATGCGCGGCGAAGCGTGTTGTCTGTGATGGTTACAGAGGTGCTAGTACCAGCTACCAATGTGTCAGAAGTTGGTGTCTTCAAGCCCTTGAGTTCCACACGAACATCGTCAAAGTAGTAGGCGAAGAATCGCCAGTTGTCCAATTACGCTTCAGGGCCATACGTTGCACCATCAATGCCATCAGCGGCCATCGTATCGTTGAGAAACTTGGATGCCATCTTGTACAGCGTTCCGGGCGACGACATGTAGTAATTCAACAAGCGAAAGAACTCGGATGCCAACGGCCAATTCGTTGGAGTTGATGGAGGGAGAACAGTGTCGGTGCTCTTCCTTTCTAGGCCTTTGATCTCCGCTTTCAGTTTATTGATCTGATCTTCAATTCCAGTTTCGACTTGCATCTGCCTCTGTCGGTAGCGTGCCTGGTTGATACGACAGCGCTCTCGGTGACGGATCTTCTTCTTCAAGGCTTCAGTCACGATCGCCTGCTGTAACTCCGGTGTGATATGGTGGTCAGCCCCTTGGATACTTTCAATAATGCTCTGTACAGTCTTTAGATCGGACGAAAGGCATGAAATTTGTCTTCGCCCCGAAGTTAAATCAGTTTGCCCGATAAGCTGGGCGACTGATGACGAGAGCACAGTTTTCTTGGACGTCGCAACTGACACCTTAGCGGGACTCTCATGGGAGCCTTTGAATAGCTTTTTGTATAGCTCGTGGCGTTGGGTCTGACGTCTGGGCTTCTGTTGGCAGGAGTGCGCAACGTTGGCACTGTTCCCCATGCGATTAGACGTTCTGTCACGCGCATTCCAGGTCGAACGCTGCATGACAGCTCCAATCACGGCGTCGCTTAGTGCCGAGCTATTAGGCGGAAGGAGAGCGTACGAATTCATACTGCAGATACAGGATGCCGGCGATTGGTGAGGCGCTTACCGTTCTGCGATAGTCGAAGCAAATTGGAAACTGTTACCTAGTAGTCGAAGAAGCCAGGAGTCTGCGTCACCAGCTGGAAGCTTACGCGCTTTACGGATTACGAACTCTCGGGAGAGTAGGTAAACGGGATCTATCACGTGGATAGGGTGGATCCCTTTTAGTGTCTTCAACGTTACGTGTTATCGCTGTACTTAACGTTAGAATTTTACTGTAGTGTCTTCAACGTTACGTGTTATCGCTGTACTTAACGTTAGAATTTTACCGGTACCGCTAAAAGAACTGCGCAAAGATACCGTTATTTGCGCCCCTTCGATACCGCCGATCAGATTTGTCGAGTCAACACTTCCGACCGCTCAAAACTTCGCCATTCGAGTACTAGAGTAGCCATGGATCCATTGCTGCCGCCGATATCAACGGTGTGGTCTCAGGGCATGTCTTCCGGAGCCAGTGACCATCACGAAGAAGTACTACGACATCAGGATGACCGTAGTGGTCTGGGATCAGTTGCGAACACGTTTGCGTTGCGCGGTCAACCGCTCAGCCGAACATTTAACGAGTTACATTCGACTAGTCCGCCAATACGTACCCGTCTTACCTTTGATGACGCCGACAATACGGACGCTAGGCCGGCTGGGCCTTGTTACGGGGCCCTAACAGGACACGATCACGACGTTGCTGCTGAAGTAACCTCCGCGAATATAACTTCTCATCATGATGGTGTAGCTACGAGATGTCCGACACGCAAGCGTCCCGATTCTCACGGTCTTGTAGGACCTTATAAACGTCTTTTCGTGGGTCCTAGTGGTCACGAAGTATGTGAAGCTACTACACCAGCAAATACTCCAGCAAAAAGAACAAGTACACCGCAGCGCGGATCAATTTTGCGCAATCGTAATGCTACGACTAGTGCTCGCCGCAAGCGTGTTGGTAAGTCTCCCGCCAGTGCGACGCGTCAAAGTGGTATGGACAGCGTTCAGCGTTCACACTCAAATCAAACACCAAGTAATTCCTACCGTGACCACAGTAGCAAGACTCCCGGCAGTTCTCAGCGTGGGCGTAGCCACAAAACGCCAAACAGCTCTCAATCAACACGCCGTAGCAGGACACCGAGTAGCGCGCAACGTGGTGGCAGAAATGGGTCCTCTGGTTCAGCGTTGGCGCTTTCCAGACCACGGCGGATCTTGTTCAACATGCACAAGATGCGAAAGCCTCAACACTGGCGTTTCATCCAGCTTGTTTGCAAGGACGACTATAGCCACATACATATGGACGACTTGCGCTCTGAACACGCCAGGTGCGCCTTTTGCAATAAATGTGATGTTGCGATAGCGTTTGAAAAGTCCAATACCGCCCATGTAACCAAACACATGAAGACACGCCATCCTAAGGAGCTAAAAGAAGCAACAGAAGAAGAAGAATCTCGTCGGAGGAACAAAACGCAGATTTTGGTGCACACAAAGCCGAACAATTTGCCTACAGTATCAGACTATCAAGAAGCTGCAACAGCATAGGAGCAATTAAGGGCTGATGATTTAGCTTCGATCTGGGTTGCTAAGTCAATGCGTCCGCTTTCGATCACTAGCGACAAATACTTTCGCAAGTACTCACGATACATCAACTCAGTGTGCGGCCGAGTTAATATCATTAAGCCATGGAAGACCCGAGAACGTGTTGAAGTAATTGCCGCTGAACTTCGAGAAACATTAAAGGAGAAAGTCTCTGCTGAGTGCGATTATTACTCCGCGTCAAGTGATATTTGGACATCCAGAAGCAAGCTCGCATTTATATGCCTTACGCTACACTATCTGGATACTTTGTTCAAAATGCACAGTTGGGTACTCGAAGTGAAGCTCCTACCGGGAAAGCACGATGCTTACCACATTGCAGACTCATTGGAGAAAAGCATGCTGGAGTGGGGTCTACAGACTAATAAGTGCGTCAAATTTTTGCGTGACGGTGCATCAAACGGAGTTAAAGCCTGTGACTTGCTCCATCTCGACTTGATGTCATGCTTAGCGCATTGTTTGCACCTAATTGTTGGCTCTGGAATTGTCAAGAAAAAAGCTGACAAAACATCTAAAGAAATGCTAGCGGCAGCAAAGACGGATGGTGAATTCGATGATGCACTCGAACAGGAGGCCTGCGAAGAAGTTGACAGGTATATCGCAGAGTCTTGTGAATCTTCTCGTTCAGATTTGAAGAAATTACGTGGAGTTGTTGAAAAGTTTCGCAAGCTTGCAGTGTTCTTCAGTCGTTCAGTAAAAGGATCCGATTGCCTGAAAAGCCTTCAAAGTAAAGAACTTCTTCCTAAGACCGACTGTGCTACTCGTTGGAATAGCACATACGCCATGCTCTTACGTATGTTAGAGTTACGCAGTGCACTAGCTGCCTTTTTTGATCTGGCGGCTAGGACTGGTGAATTTTCTTACCCCACTTCCGCACACCCTACGGTCGAGGACCCGGCTTACTTTTCGGTGCTTAGTCACATTACTTGAGCCTTTCGCCAAAGCTACCGATGGTTTGGGAGTACAGAAGTACCCTACATTGGTAATTGCCGTTCCAGTACTTCGGTCAATCGAGAGGAAGCTAAACAACGCCAATATTTTTGATCCGATCATTCGATCGGTTGCTAACGAAGAATTTGGTCCTCGAGTGGAGACATTAATGCATTCAGTCAGAGAAACGTACATTGAGCTCTTTTCCAAGCGGTTTAAGGACAGCTTGCCGCCGGATTTGCTGTGGATTTCAGTGCTGGACCCACGGTCAGCCGAGCTGAAGCACTTGAGTCATGGTGAATCTACACTTGCTGTATCTCGACTCAAAGTTGCAGCTTTTGAGATGGCAAAAGAGATAAATACAAACAAATCCAGTTACAACGAGGCTGCGCAGGTAGCCAACGATTCAGTTCCCCAGTCCGGCTCAACGAGGCAAAATGTAGCTTGGCTGACAGACGTATTTAGCGGTGGGATGGACGAGTATGTGGAAGAACCGCTCAGTGTTGCCGACGATATGCTGAAAGACGAGTGCGAGTCTCAAGTCCGGCAATATTTAAGAGATGCACATGGAGCTCCTGTTACTACTGATGTATTGGACTGGTGGGCGAAACGACGAACTAAATAACCGATCGTATCGGCTTTGGCTAGAAAGTGGCTCGGGTGTATAGCAACTTCTGTGCCGTCTGTAGTGGGTGGCGGCTTGAAAGCCCAACCACGACCACACTATACAGTCGAGAGTGACGAGCAAGCTGGACAACCAGCATGTGGTTGCAGTCAGCCACCAGCGTGCCAGGTTGTTGCAGTTTACAACTGCAAGTTGCAGCTCGTCATCTCAAGCTGGTGAAGGTTCTAGTTAGGGAGTCCTTGCTAGAGGCTGGGCTATCACTGGGACGCTGGTGATAGCTATGTAGAGCTTTGGATTGCATGCATGTTTCTATCTCACTTTACATTTTACCAAGACACAAGCAATACAATCGGCTATACTTTAAGGAAGTACCAGCTTCCTTCGACCGTCTTGTATTCACTACTGCGACCTACTACAAAGAATTCTTTAGCAGTGCTAAGGTCAAGATGACGATATCGACAAGGAGTACTTCGACGACACCAGGGACTTCAACAACGACGCAAAGTCCATCGGGTAACGACTCGTCTACGGTTCCGGTGGCACTGTTTATGCCGCTGGCTGCTCCCCAACTGAGGAGCACGTCTCATGCTGCTCTGGTACAGTGGCGGAAACTTCGCCGCGAGTACGAAGACGAAGTAACGATGAGATGCAAGAACGACGCTGAAAAAATGGCTGAGGTGCTGGTCAGCGTCAAGAAGTCCTTCAATAAGCGACTTCTTGAAGTTTGGTACGAATTTGACTGGGAGGTGGACATTGACACGGTTACCGACGAGTTCATTATCACCAAGGTGGACGAAATCATATCGTCCGTCAAAAACAATACCGTACCAGATGTTGCTACTCTGTTCAAAGAAAATGTAAAAATGGATTTGACAGAAAGCGATGTCAGGGAGCGGGTGATGCAGTTTTTTTGCGAAGAGCCGCGAGTTCATCGAGGAACAGGGCTGGCAGGAGTTCTTCACAGGTAACGAGGGAAAGCGGTTAAAGTGCAAGCTGCTCGTCGAATCTCTCGAGCCCCGCAGTCTCCGCGAGGAGATTACTACTACCATCAAATACCAAGCAAGGATTGCCAAGGAGAGTGAAAAAGAGCTTTTTAAACTCATCCTGGACAAGGCCTTTGAGCAAGACCGGAACTTCCAACGCCGAAAGCGCTCTCGTTCCTCAACTCAGTTTGAGCGAACAAAGAAAACCAACGGAACCAAAGAGCATAACGAGCCAAGGGCGAAGTACCGTAGGGTTGAGCGTGGTGGTAAGAAGGCTGGTGGCGGTGACGCTAAGCATGGACAGCATAAAAACGGCAAAGGCACGGGTTCTAGTCCACCAACCGGAGGTTGCTTGCACTGCAAGGGTGATCACTGGCTGGTACACTGTCCGGATGCATCTGCAGACATGAAGAAAGAGCTACTGAAGAAGATGCACGACCGCCGTGATCGCAATAAGGCCCCGAAAAGGGCCGAAAGCGATGCCTGAAGGTTAAGGCGCATTAAGGATTGCCTTTTAAGACACGACAAAACAATTGTTGTTGAAGGAAGGTTGTCCATGCCCTACTGCGCTGACACCGGGGCGGAAAGAAGCATAATCAGTGCTCAAAAATTGCAAGAACTGGAGAAGTTGGGTGGTACTGTGAGAACGACTATACTACCTCGCCCGATTTTCTGTGAGACTGTTGGCAAGTTCCAGATTGTGACGAAACACTCTGTACTCTTGCATGTGATGCTTTATACTGCCG